TGTTCAAGAGCAGATGGTTGTGATGAAAGTTTTGGCCTAAATGTTATAAATTTTGTTTTGCTAAAATTGAGAGTGAGCCGATTATGATTCAGCCAATCAATCGTGGTTCTTAAAGCAGATTCAGCAATCAAGCGTGCTTCACTCCAATCACTGCCTCGCAGCAATATAACCGTATCATCGGCGTAAGTGATAATATTGGCGTTCGGCAGATTGAGCCTACATAGATCGTTGATGTATAGTAAGAAAAGGGTGGGTCCAAGCACACTACCCTGTGGAACTCCGTAATTTAGGAACTTTTCTTTGCTGCTGTAATTATTTATTTTGACAATTTGAGTGCGATTACTTAGGTAACTCTTGAAAATATCAAGCGCAAGGCCCCGAACACCGACCAATTCCAGTTTCTTGATTAGGCGACTAATCCGACTTTAAAAATTCTTTCACCAATATAAAGCTTCATTAAGAACGAGTAATACAGGCGATATTTTACCGCGATAATAGTCATACACGTGGGCGGAGCCGTGGGCAAAAGCAAGTATTTTATATACACGGAATACTTAGTCAGCAGTACGAAGTGAAGTGTGATTTTATTGAACTATTATATTATTACTAGTAATAGTATACTAGTAAATTAAAACTAATAACGCAGATCATTTCTTAAACAAAAGTAATTTGCAAAATTATTAGGGGAGAGGGCAAGATTTTATAATCAATAAATATTGTAAACGTGTTATTTTTTGGTTACCTAAACACACATATGTAAAGTTTACTAGGTATTTCTTTTTTCATATATTTTTAAAGTAAAAATTATAAGAATTACTTTATTTCGTACATATAATTACGGGAAATAAAAAGAAATATAAGTTAAATTATACCTTTTTTTTCTGATTGCAAATCCACTTAGGACCCGTAGCACACACCGGTGGCTATGTCGGACTCGAACCGACTGAAAACCGCACGCCGTCTCGGGTACCAGTAGCCAGGTAACCAGGTGTAGGCTGGAAGGGAAATCCCTGGTGCCCCGACGTAAATCGGGCCATCTACGGCGGGTCGGTAGGTAGAAAACTCGCCGCCACCCCGGCCTGCTTCTGCAAGGGTGATAGATTGCTTCACCTGTCACCCCCTGTTTTTTCTTGTTTTTTTTTTCGTGCGGAAATCCCCTCCGATACCATCTATCGGTGGCATGTCGAACTCGAACCGACTAAAACCGCACGCCGTCTCGGGTACTAATAGCCGGGGAACCAGATATACCCTTTTTTTTTTTTTTTTTGCGACCTCCAGCGCCTGAGTCATCTGCGGTACCTGGCCCGTGCCCGGGCCTGGCGGGCCGGGAGATTTCTAAACCTCTCCGGGTCCCGCTCCACCATCTCCTTTGCAAGCATAACTTTCTTGCAGAAGGAGACGGTTCCACGCACTCTCGCTCCGCATGGCCGCAATCATGTTACCGAGCGAGAGAACTCCCACCCGATGGCCGCCACGAGGCCACGCCTCTGCACCAGCCACGCCGGGCATTCTGCTAGTGTGTGTGGAGCGCCGTGTCCACGGTCCGGTCATCGCAGTTGTGGCACTCAGGCGTGGGCTCCTTGCGGATCAGACACAGGTCGTCCCCAAAGTTTCGTTTCCCAGTAATCACCTGCGTTAGCAGGTGTGAGAGGGTCCCGTGATGCCTCTCGAGCCAATTCTCCATAATGCGTCTTACAGCCGTAATAACGGCGTGCCCGAAGTAAATTATACCTAATTTTTCTGCTTATTTTTTTGTAATGAAGCTAATCCGCGCCTAATTGTGTTTCCTTAGGTTCAATTTACAAGAGAACAAAATTTATGTTTTTATTCTAAAGGGTTTCGGATATTAACATGTGTTTAGGTGGTATGATAGAAATCTGATTAAGGAAACAACTTTTGTGGTATGTTACCGTAATATCTTTTGAATATAGATATAGTTAAGTATATCGAAAAAAAAAACTGCATTTAGATTGAAAATCTATTCAATGGTCAATCTGTGAGCAAGATTTTATAATATCAAACGAAAATCGAGTTTAAAGTGTCTTCACTTGTTATAATTGTGCAAGATCGTTCACTTCGGCACATATGGATCGACACGACCGAGGTGACACCAAGGCCTCACAAAAAACCGGAGTGTGGTTACCGAAGGATTAACCCTAATTGTAGAGGATTGCAACACACTTGCAACTTCTAAGTTGCAGATTTCCATGGGTGGCTGTAGGTGGTTTAACACTGTGTATTAAGTAAGCTACTACAGAATACGGCGTAGAGTTTGCTACGACGTAGTATCGACGACGACGTAGCATTAACACCGTATAACATTCTACACCGTAATATAATTTAATTTTTTAAGAGCTACTTTGAGATTCCGAAAGCTTCTTATTTAATAAGCGTTTATAACCATATAAAATTTATACCTCGAACCTCACAAATAAATACTTTATTATATGTCTATGAAGTCTATTGTGCTAATAGCATTAATCTTTGTAAAATCTAAAACCACCAAGTCACAGTACTAACCGCACGGAAAAACAAGCTCATTCGCCGGGTAATTCCCAGGATTCTGATCCATGAATACATTTCTCGGTGCAATGCAAGCGATAGAGGAGTTTAAGTCGAAAGAAGAAACATCATTCTTTTATCGAAACGAGTATGTGTTATTTTTGTGTGATCGCTAGTCTAATGTGTCGTTTTGATTTTATTTATGAAAAGAAAAAAAGAAAAAACATTAATCGAAACGAGTTTCGAAAGAAGAAATATTATTCTTATTTCGAAACTGCGTTCGAAACTTGGTTTCGTAGGCGACCGAAGGGAATGAAACCAATCTCATTTTCAATTTAGTGTCCTCACTCGACTTAAGTAAGTTTCCAGAACGCAAACTATTTCTAACCGTTATTTGTAGTACCCAGTTCGCTGCATTGGTATCAAGTTTGTGGCTGTCTCGACATAGCAATTTCACCATTCGGTCGACAACTTGACATACATCAGTGGTCAAAAGATAGATAGCTATGCATTAAAAGGGTTAACATTTTTTGCTCTAGTGGATTTTATTTAAGCTAAAAATGTTGTTGTCTGTGAACCTTAGCAATCTGTATGTAAGTCTAAACAAATTTCTAAATGCGAATTAACTGTGTCTGTCCTCTGTTACGCTCTCACTCTGTAACCACTAAGCCGTTTGGTCTACTGCAAGCACTAATAAATCTTGCTTCATAAGATTGGAGCTTTGGATTGGACCTTGGAGAACGAAGGAAAAATGAAAAAGAAGAACAGTTCACAAAAAAAGTATGTCAAGAAAAAATAGAGTACCTGAGATATGTACAAGTTCTATGCAGAAGAACTCCTAATATTATATTTAAACTTACTTGTGGACACAAGTTACTATAAATATAAACTTACGAATTCAATTTTCTTTATTGCTTTAGGTATCTTTTAATTTAAATTTTTAACTGTAACGACTACTTCTTACTAAGTGAACAATGTGATATCTTCAACTATTAAGTATTCTCTTGAATGTAGAACTTTTATCTGAATTTAATAAAGTTCTTAATTCAATTTAAACAAACTACTCTATATCTGTTAAAGAACATTGCAAGTACAGCTTCTTAGTTCGTTACAAAGTCCTCTAGTCTCGAGAGCGGCTAGAGCGCTCTCGACACAGGCTTTGTCAGCGCAATACGACACGTCCATAGACACTCCACAAAAGAATAAATACGGGCTTGTTGATGCAGCGGCTTTTTGCTTGACTCGACATTGCGATAGGTCAATGAATTTGAAATAGTTTATTGCATAGTGCAGGGTTGAAGGATTATAACTTTCATCAAGTTGGCGATTGGTGGGGTTAAATAAATTTAAATGTTTCTTTGAATTTAAATTTTTAACTAGATGAATATAAAATCCTTTATTGAGGTATACTTCGGGGTTCTTTTTGTGATTAATGGTAATTAAAATATTTAGTTTTTTTCTACAATTGTAAATGCAAGAAAAAAGTGTTTGTTAAGAAACATTACTGTTTTAAAACCGTCTTTTAATAGTTTGAGAATATCAAAAGATATTATAAGGTTAACTCTTAAGTGACACAAAGCGATGTAGAGACTTACATCGCTTTGGCAATGGCAAAAAATGGCATAAATTACAGGGAAAACACACAATTGAGTGGATTTGGAGCAACCCTCTGTTAGGGTACTTTAAAAGCCTGATTCTCGAGAAAGATTATTGGCTATTAACCATCAAATTCAGTAGCACAGCAGTGACCATTTGCCGCCATAAAACTGCGGAAAATGGCTACTATATAAAGGCTGTATTTTAAATCTTAAATTTCTATACGAGTCTAAATTGCAGAATCTCTCAGTCCTGTTTATATCTACTTCTAATATTTACCTTCTGTTATATTGTAGTGCCATTTTCTCTGCAGCAATTCCTTTGTCCTCACCACAAAGTATCCGTGTTTCAGCACATTTGAGGACGCTTTTGTTTGACAACAACTTTACAAGATATCACATACTGCGGCTTGAAGTTTAGAAATTTTGTTCCACAATTATGCAGAAAATTTGTTTGAGCGCTTCCTTATTGCACATTGTTATTTGAAGTTTGTCAAATTAAGCAGACCATTAACAATCGGTATACTGTTCCAATGCTTATAGTGAACAATCAGTTCATAATATTATTTTAATCATGTTTAATGCACAATCAGCTGCATATAAACAACAGACTGTCAGACAAAAGATCTAAAATCTTAAATAATGCTCATGGATACAATTTTGTGTACAGTTGAATTTCATATCTAAATGTCTAAGTTTGTAACTATATATAATATAGATAACCTTTAAAACAATTACCTACTTTAACATCGTGATTTAATCTTGAACACGGGCTTTAAAATACTCCCGCAAAAATCGAACACATTTCCATAGAAGTATTTAATTTAATTTTTCCCCATTTAATTTTTTCAACTTATGTTAACGCAGAGTAGGGGCAGATGTTTTCCTTTAAATAAAATCATTATGGTACTTGGTAAAGAAACCTATATATGTGGTATTGGATGACGTATTTAATCAGCAAGAAAATGGTGATGATGATGATTTGATGCACTTATAAGGAGCTATCACATAGCACATAATATATTCTATATAAGACTAAATAGTGACTAGAAAATAGGTATAATTATAAACCATTAATTAAATCGTCTATCCAGTGGTATATTGACACTTAATACTAAAAACATTTATTTAGTTACTTCTACTACAGAGGATCTTCTACCACGAGACAGCAAAATATATCCGCAAAAATGTAGTTGCAATTTTATTACCACCTGCCCACCATTGGGACTTATATAACGTTGTTGAGTTTCTCTGAAGTATATTAACTTTATCTCGTCTGTAATAGTTTCTACCTATAAAGGCCATAAATATCTTCAACAGACGGATATTTCCGTAGTCCTGGGGAGCTTTTCTATGAATTCCTCGCCCACGCTCCACGTGTACTATTGAGTTGGTAAAGTTAATATTCGTTCCTAAGAATTGAAACATATAACGCTATATAAATATATTTTATTTTTCATATTTTGTGATTTTATACTTTTACATTGTGCTCAAAACTCACACGAGCAGTATGTTCTCCTTACCCAGACTCAGAACAACAATTTGTGGATCACACAAAGTGTCGTGGGGTTTGAACCATCAACACTCGGCGTAGTAGGAAGCGGCGTGGCGACCGCTTAAACCACTAAGCCATCCCTGCGGTCAAAGTTTGTGGTTATTATACACGAGTATATACATCATAACCCAAATAGAAATCTCTAGCTTTATTTTAATAGATTTTTTTAGATTTTGTCTTTCAAATTGATTATTTTAAACATGTACTGTCCTTGTTTTGGTGATATCATGTAAACAAATCTATTTACATAGTGTAGTGTTATCTGCCTTTAAAACCAGAGCAACATGCTTCAGTATTAGGATACCACTATGCTATGCTCTCCTGCTTAAAACGTTGTTTTTAACCATAAACATTACTAAAAACAAAAACGACTTCTAAGCTTTTTATAATTATTTAATAACGAAGAACTTCGTTTAAATGCAACCACTTCTAGAACATTTAATAAAAATAAAAAGCGTATTTAAGAGCAATATTTGCGAGAGAATGGTCAGGTATTTTAGACATATGTTTTAGACATGGTTGAATCATTACTTTAAAAAAAAAGTAGTTAGTTATCTGAAAGCTCAATGTCGTAAAAACTAAGTTGAGTAAGAATACGGAATGAGCTCAACATTTGACAGATAGTATACTCGTAAAGGTTATCACTCAGTACGTCCATTAACCCCTCCGCCCTTTTTATCCTACAAAAACTTAGAGGGTTTATATTACGGACAATACCGTGTCAAAGGAATCATGCTTCCATTCCCTTGAATCTGTATTCATGGTTTACTATAAACCAGATTGCTGACCTTGCTTTAATGATGCTGTAAAAAGGTGTAGAGCTAAAAGTGTTACTCCTCCCTACACAAAGGATCGCGCTGCAACCAGGCTAGATTATCATGCTTGGAAGATCACAGTCTCACGATCGATGTTGGCAAGTTCCACTTAATATAACAAAATTCTCGCTCTGATTAACAGAGCGAGAATTTTGTTTAGATGATGATCTAGGATGTTGTTTGCTTCATTTGGAAGTCGTACAACCTATAAAACATTAATTTACAATATTTGGAACATCTGACACAACGCTATCTAGTTTCAAACTAAGCAGAGCTTGTACTATAAAAGTTAGATTGACTGATAGAATACTTTTATACTTTTTTGTTAATACGTATTATAGTTATACACGGTCAATACCCAAATCTCGAAACAAATATTTGCAGATATACAAACATTTGGTCCGACCCGGGAATCGAACACAAGACCAAGGCAGTTGCTTACGCTAGCACTACACCACCGAGGTAGTCAAGTGCATCGAAAACTGCTGCCTTATGATGTCGGGGATGAATGACATTTAAGAAATAAAAAAATCTAATTTGACATTTTTAACACATAAGTGAATGACTCTCCCCCTCTCACCCTCCCGCACTTGTGTCTCTTGCAAGTGTTAATGCGGGTCGGTAGTCACTTGCCATCCGATGACCCGTCTACTTTCTTGTATATACCATAATAATAATAAAAAAACCTAAGTATTACGCTTTACTACAACTACCAGTAAAACTCAGTGACAATCCTTTTCACACTTATCTTTGAATATTACAATCCCACATCAAAAAGAAAAAGGGTCACCTGGTGCACCCAATATTCGCATTTTGCCAAAGTCATAAAGAATAAAAGCTGACTTTACGATAAAGTTTTTGCGTTTCTACAATATTTTTTTGGCGCCGAACCCAAAACTTAACTGATAGAACTACTTAAGGTTCTTACTTTACAAGTGAGAAGGATATCGCTTCTAATTTTGCTCGATCATCGATTAAATAAGTGCCAGTATGGTTCGCTACATTCGACCGTAAACAAACTTCGTAGTAAGAAATTAAGGCCTGTCTCACATTTGTTACTTTTAGCATTGCAACTGGTAATACTGATGAATTTGTAACGTATTTATGGACGGATATCTTTATTAAATGTTTATGTTATCATCCTTGTGATGACGGATTGTGAATACAGATTCACCCCGTATTCATCCCATGGCTGTCGCAAAGCCGACTAGGAGAGCAAACTCTGCACAACAACAGCACTGCAAAGAGAAGGAAAGTTTAAACAAACCTTATACCAACCCGTCTGGCCAGCGTGGTATAGTAAGCCAATACTTCCTTTCTAAGGAGAGGTCTATGTCTTGCAGTGGACTGTTAAAGGCTGTTGATGATGATAATAATTGATATTAAAAGTCAAGTGGTGCATAAGTTTAATCAATAAAAATATGAGTACAAAAGGGTGATCTCTTTCTCATAAACAGTGATTCTGTAATTGGTAAAGTAAGTTTACTCTCTCGCCATATTATTTGACCTATCTGTTCTGTCTTGTTTTGCAAGGCTATGGTGGTAGGGTCTAAGTATTAGTTACATCTCTTTTAATTAAGATAGGTATTTATAATGATAAAGGTAAAAAAAAAAAACAAACAAGAAACGCACAGCCCTAATACCCTACTATAATATCTACGCTGATGATGACTGCATATTACTTAATGCACCTAGAAATTTAAAACGTAAAACAGTAATATGGTTCTCAATAAAACATTTTTTTTTCCTATAATAATATTTATCATCTCCAATTGCATTTCATTTTATTTACAGAAGAGAAACAAAAAGAGTCAGAGGAACAGCAAGAAGAAAACGCGGCGACAAAGATCCAAGCGGTGTTCCGTGGACATCAGACAAGAAAGTCAATGAGCATGAAGACTAACAAGCAGCCAGCAGAGACGGAGAAGGAGCCTACCAGGGCCGAGCTGGAGGCCGAATTTAGAGCTGATGATAAAGGTAAGTTTAATTTAAATTTCGGTGTGAATCTTACTGGTTTACCGTTTAAACCCAACTCGTAATAGGGGGACGCGTGAATATTTTTTCTTTTTAATTCTTGAGTCTTTAAATTCCTTAACACATGTATAAATTAAAGCTTTTATTCGTCCTTACATATATCAAACCCGTGGAAACTCCACAAGACTAACTTTAGCAATATCCAGGTTATTTAAAGAGATTAATAAAATTTCTGAAATGCAGCTAAGAACGATTCCATTACGGGAGGGATTTAAATCCGCAAACAATCTTTTGCAAGTCCCATATCTCAGCTTTTTTGAAGCCAATGCTTTCGCCATTACACAAACCTGTAAGTGTACCTAGTAAATTCCAATAATGAATTCTTCTCCGTTAAATTCCATTCCGTTAAATTAAATTTTACGTAAGAAACACAAAATGGGCCGGTGTCGTTTACAAATTTGTCAGCATAATCTTTTCAAAATCTCAGAATACGATGGAAAAGCATCATTTTTTAAATGAATCGTTTATAAATTTATCTCTGTAACCTTCTGAAGATTCCAAGAATACAATACAAAATTGTTAATGAAATAATTGTGTCTATTTTTGTCCTACACTTTTACATAAATAATAATAATATAATATATTACACTACATTCACGCAACGCCATCTAGTCCCAAACTAAGCAGAGCTTGTACTATGGCTTCTAGACAACTGATGTAAATACATATTTACTTTTTTTTGTAAATATACCTATACATATTATACATAGAAACACCCAGACCAAATCAAACATTAAATGTTCATGCGCACAAATGTGTGACTTGAGCGGGCATCGAACCCGCGACCTTTGGAATAGCAGTCCGTTACAAACAAACCACTATTCCATCCGGTCGTCAAAATATTTTTTATCATTATTACATTTCAACAATTTAACTGAATTAAGTCGGTAAAAATATAGACAGGTTAGTTTAAATGATTTTGTGCATGTATTCAGTCAAATATGTATTTAAACTGATTATTTATACTCTATGTGTTTTGCGAAACATCCCCGTGAAGAAATATTGTTATTTCCACAGTTGTTGAGGGGCTGTTTTTGATTGTTAAAGATTTTAGAATTGATCCCTTTGATAGACATATTAACATTTAGATTTCACAAATATTTTGACAATTTCTATGGCATCTGTCAGTCAAGGAAAATCACGCTTTATTAACGACACTGACACTCTTTTTTTATCAATTATTGTTTTTTTTCGAAATGAGATATATAATCGATTTTTAAGATAAAAGTTTACTGAGGTACAACAATATTCAGTACATTTGTATTATTTAACACAATGCGTCAAAGGATAACGTAGTTTCCATGTAGTTGTGTTTCGTTGTCACAATTCTAATGCAACGAGAAATATATTATCTTATGAAATTCCACGAAATGCACTTTCAGCTCTGTTATAGTTAAGGAAAAGTGCAATTTTAAAACATAAAGAGCAAATTGTACAATTTATCTATACTCAGCATCTGTATGGTAGAACGAAAGTTATTCTAAGTGCACTTAAAAGTATGAGAATTAAAATACATTCTCCTATAAATTTATTATTTTTCTTATAGAACCTGTCAAACTCTATAGTTCATTTTTTCTATTTAATTGAACTGTGATAGATGGCGTTTTTTTTAACCATCTGAATCGCGCTGTTAAGAGTCTGGGGTACTTCATGATCTCTTTTCATTGAAGTATATACTTTCTATAGCTTTTTGTTGTCGATGGCCAGTCTATAATCTTAGGACATATTCCAAATTAGATGGATATGATTTATGATGGATATATCTATGGATGGATTTATCTAATTAACTGAAACCGAACTGACCAATACCACGTGGTAAATCTGACCTATAAATAGTTTACTTAGGGCGTAGTGAATAAACTACTAGGTTCCGGCAGGTCACGGCCGCTATATCTAGCTATTTCGTTTATTATGTCGCGGTGGTGGGCAAAGCGTATGTCCATTACTGCTCAAGGTTGTGGATTGGTTGGACTGTATTACACCAATTTGTGTCTTTACACAAGTTTACACAAACGACGAGCCATTTCGCATATTGGCTTATTTAATGATTAATTTGTTCTGGCACAGATTTAGAAGTTGTAAGTTAACCTGAGTTGTAAGTTAAACTGACTCTAATGAAGTTGTCTGTATATCTTTAGTTTTATATTACTGTTATAGTGTATTGTGATCACAGAGATACTTAACTAATTTATTGTGTTGTTACATTTTCTCATTATGTAAGTGAACTGTATTGTTTTTTTTATGAGAAATAAATGTCTCTAAACCGAACCTTACATTGTTGCACCGTTTACCGACCACTGTATAGTCTATTATTAGAAGCTGAATCTACTCCAAATGCTGTTTTTTTTAATGAATATTAAATTATGACAACATTAGTATACATTAGTATATACCTAAATTCTTGATATTTAAATCTTATTAATGAAATTGCAGATCATACACCATATTGATTTACAGAGAACATCACATAAGAGTTTTAATAATAAAGTCTTTTGTCAAATATAACAGACATGTAAATTCCTAGTGTAACAAGTAGGACAAACTATGATGAATTCTATGAGAAGAGGCGTAGATTGCTACATTGTATTTTCCAGTTTTTATTACCAGTTTTTTCTTTTGTTTAGAGTTTTCTCATGCCTCTTCGATTCACAGATTTACTCCCTATTCTCACTTACGTCAGTGATAAATCACCGTAGCAGTTAAGATTACGTATCATCAAGAAAAGACTTGGAAACATTTCTACTTTCAATATTTATTATACAAATACTTTTTTATCAGATTGCTAGTGGACACGACGGATTTGTTTTCGCCGGATACGTTATAAGAACTGTTTTATGTTATTTCTTACCAAGACGGAAATTATTACGACAAATTTTCTCCTAGCATTTCCTTCAAATTTAATTAAAATGAAAGAGGAAAGAATAATAAAGGAAATAAATAGCATAATAAGTTATTTCTTAATGTGCCACTGGGACGCAGACAATTCATTTTAGTTCCCTTTCTGGCTACACGGGTATTTGAACGAACAATGAATATTTTTATTAAGGGGGTGGCTGAAGGCAAATGTTTAGGGGTGTGAAAATAAAGATGACGAATTAGAATATTAACAAAATAAATATTATTGTATCAGTAATGCCACGTTAATTTCCCAAAAGTCTAAAAAAGTTAATATTCTTCAGAGCTTGAATGAGCAATGAATCTGTTTGAGATATTATTTTTCATTTATCTCTGTTCGTTACACTGCAATCATAGAAGTGATAAACATTATAATAATTATAATAATATTCTACCACATTTACACAACGCCATCTTGTCCCAAACTAAGCAGAGCTTGGTTAGTTTGGGACATATGGGACACAACAACTTGGGACAACTGATATAAATACATATTATTCGTTTTTTTTTTTGTAATTACATATATATTATAAATAGAAACACCCAGACTAAATCAAACATTAAATGTTCATGAACACAAATGTTTGAATTAAGCGGAAATCGAACAACAATCGTTACACAGACCACTACGCCATCCAGTCGACAAGATTACAATTTATTTACTGTCAAAACTATATTTTACAAGTCTGAAAAGGTTTACCGACATTTAAATACAAGTGGAAATTAAAAGGAAGGAAATGGAAACGGAATAATCTCACCAGTCGGCTGAATTCTGCAGTTGTCGGTATTGACGGAATTGAAGTTGCGCAAAGCCAAAGATTGGCTTAGCTGTTAAACTCCAGCGTATTTCTAATTTGTAATGTTTTGTTAATCCAATAAATTAGAGTCGTATCATAAGAGTCACCCCTTTTTAGACTTAGGTGACACTTTAGTAGCTACTGTGAACGACTTAATTATGCCTCGTAAAGGCAATCGTTCTTGTTATTCACACATGGCTGCTTTTCTAGTCTGTGTGTGAGACGTTTTCTTAAGCACTTAAGAAATGAAAGACAATTTCCCTGGCTGTGTACTAGTTGCGCTGAAATGTGTTCTTGGCAATAATGCTAATGAGAGAGTATAAAAGACAACGCTAGTATATGTTAAAACGTGATAGTTATTTTACATTTAGTTTAATATAGAATGTTTGGAGATAAGTGAACCCTCGTCTTATCAAGATGTTGGTATGGGTCTGATAGTTTAATTCTTTTGGGACTCGGAGATAAATCCGTTTCTATCTATAAAACCTATTTCAGAATAATTCAACAGGGATTATACCTATTAAAGACCTTCAGTAGGCAAACTATCTAATTAATTGACTTACAGGTGATGACTGATGACGATGTATGATGAATGACGGGCCCGTTGGTCTAGTGGTTAGTGACCCTGACTGCTAATCCGGAGGTCGTGGGTTCGATTCCCACCCAGGACAAATATTATGTGATGAGCTCGGTCATTTGTTCGGTGCCTGGGTATAATTTATCTATAATATGTATGTATTTAAAAATATATAAATTTGTTTATCGGCAGTCTGGTTACCAAAGCACAGGCTCTGCCTAGTTTGGGATCAGACGGACGGTAATATATATGAGGTACATTATTATTATTATTATAATGAATTATTTAATCAACTATAATAACTATAAATTAATTAACTAAAGTAAATAGAGAAACACCATAAAAATTACTAATCATTTTCTCATAATCCAAGATTGTCTTAACAAGCCTATCAAGCTCAGGTGATCGCTTACCTTCATGTTTTATTTGATTGTAGGTATACTCATTTGCTCCCTTTTTGACATAAAAATATATGTACTGTAACCAAAATAAATAATTTGTACTGGGTTGTCATACATAATATAGTAGTCGAAAGCTTTCAATTCAGAGGCATTTAAATATTAAAATCGTACCGAAACGGTGACCAGGAAACTCTATTGAACGGAAGTTTTTATTTCAAAATAAATATGCAAATCTGGAGTTAGGTAAAGAAGGCAATTTTGGGGTAAAAGTTT